AACGGATATAGATAACGGATCACATAGAATGTTGATTTAAGCTAAGAAACAGCCATCGTCGATATGAAGATAACTGATCACAGCAAAAACTGATTTAAATAGAGAAATAATTACCTAGCAGATATAAATAACGGATGAAAGAGACAGCTGATTTAAACTAAGAAACGGCTATCCTGGATATGAAGATAACTGATCACAGCAAAAACTGATTTAAATAGAGTAACCGTTATTTAGCACATAAAGATAACAAATAACAAAAAAACAGTTGCATTGGACATAACAGATCAAAAAGCTTGTTGATTTTGACAGAGAAACAGCTGCCTTGGACATAAAAATAACAGATGAAAAAGCTTGTTGATTTTGACAGAGAAACAGCTGCCTTGGACATAAAAATAACAGATCAAAAAGCTTGTTGATTTTGACAGAGAAACAGCTGCCTTGGACATAAAAATAACAGATGAAAAAGCTTGTTGATTTTGACAGAGAACTCAGCTGTCTTGGACATAAAGAAGATAACGGATCATAGATATATAATTATCTGGACGTAATGAAAACAGATCATAGAATCAACTCTAATAGATTCAGATAGTTTATTCTGTCTATTAATACATCTAATTATATAGGTGGTTGAGGATTACAAAGAATCACTTGAAATTTATTCTATTACCTGAGTGAAAATAACATTCCATGTTTATTATATTCTTGTTAAGATATAACTATTGTCAGCTGCGTGCACCCTTTAAAGCATATGGTGTTATATGAAATTAAGTAACCATCCTCAAGGACTATCCTAACATTTGTTGGCACATAGCATTTTGGGACCGTATCATAACATCTCCGTATTATATACGATATTTGGTTTGACGAAAACAATATATATTTAAATTAATATCATGGTAGTCGGAGGATCTGTAGTCAATATTTGTTTTGTTATATTTCAGTATGATTTTGCCTTGTTGTGACAGCATATGCTAATGCAGGTGTGTTCTGTTATCCTCTGTCTCACGGTGGCTTAACGCTAATCTTGAGGACCTATAACGTTAAAATACGGGGTTCGACTCACCGCGATGGACGCAACGCAGTTAACTCATTGTGTAGCTTTGAGGTTAAAACAAATAGATTTATCTTTTTATTCCTTTTGATGATTATCTATTTTTGGAGAAAAACGTAAAATGATAGATGGTTTTAAGATATTGTTCAGAATGTCTTACAGAAGTGTATAAGACCTTAAAAACTTGGGCATATTAGTAATACTTCCACATTCCTATGAAATAATCCCTATCCTGTGTATCATAGCTCTAAATTCATTTTAGCATTTTTTTTCTCTCCTCCACAACCTCTCTCTTTCTCTTCCTCTTCACCCCTGAAGGTCAATATGTTTTCATTGATAAAGAAAATAGACTTACCTGTCCACGCTCATTGCCATAATAGTGAAAACACTGGAACATACTGTGAGGTTGGCGATGAAGTTGTTTACAGTACAATATACACTTCCAAAGGGCCAATGGCTGTTCAGCAAGTATACAAAATTAAAGATGGCGTTAAAGGTAGCCATCATTAAATCTGCAATGGATAAATTTAGAAGAAAGTAATTTGTGACGGTTCGCATTTTTCGGTGAGCTAGAACGATCCAGAGAACAATTGTATTTCCCCCAGTTGCCACAACGACCATTGAAGCAAAGATGACAGCCCACATGATCTGTTGCCACCGAGGGAGAATGAACGGGCGATGGATATTTCGAACACTTCTAGAAGTATCATTAGTACAAACACTTAGGTTATATGGTGACGTTTCTGTAAAATTCACATGTTCGCAAGGGTCAAAGCTCAAGTACATATCTATTGTTAAGTTCTCCATGTTCAGATTGACAGCTTATGAAATTCTATTAGCTTTGCCACTCAAATGTAAAAATCGCAGAAGCTCTTTAAACTTTCTAAACAATAAAAATGAATTAGATCACGTCAGTTGAGTATTGTCTTCTTTTGTTAAAAATAGCTACTTGTTAGCACTGGGCGAACCTTTTCATCTGTCTAGTAAAAGTTTCGGAGCTCGACTGACTTGCGTTTCACGTCTCTCAGAAGCTCTGGACGAGAACACCGATACTGACAGCTTATTCCTATCAAAGAAACTCGAGTATCTCCCCTCCCAAACCTGGAGCGAGGTTTCATTGGCTGCTTGCTCAATCAAAACGGTGTTGATCTGACTGGTGGATATGTAAGTTTGCTTTCTTCTGTCGCATACGGTGCAAACAAAGGAGATGATGGTGTCTAAATATATCGTTAATTAATATCTCTACTGTGAAATAATATTTGTGTGATCGGATTAAGCGTTTTCATTTTAATTTATGTTTAATTGGATATGAATCGGGATGTTTTTAATTTACTAATATTATTATTTCGTTAATATTAAGCTTTTGTCAAGATAGAATTCAGTTTCACTGTAAACTGCAATAAAATATTTGTTTTTTATTAGTTATAAGAGATAAGACAAAAGGACTATTTGTTAGAACATGGTATTTATTAACTCTTACATCTTAAAACAGTAGCTCTTAATAATTTTTTCAGAGGACTTGTTTGTTTGTTTTAAAGTTAAGCACAATGGGCTATCTGTGCTCTGTCCACCACGGGTATCGAAACCCGGTTTCTAGAGTTGTAAGTCCGCAGACATACCGCTGTGCCACTGGGGGGAATTTTCAGAGGATTAACCAATGTTTAATGTTGTCTATAGGAAGTTGTTTGTACGGAGTCGCCAAAACTTACAGTTTAACTACATCTAGTAAATTCACCTGAATTGCGTTATAGTTTTGTGAAGCTATTAACTCGTTATTAAAACACACCGTATCTAATATGTTATAAAAGGTTTGAGAATTACGTTATCAAAGAAAGTATAACTAACAAACAATACGGTATCGATACTGATGTCGTATAAGAAGATGTATAAGGAGGTAGGTGTTTTTCTATTGCAGAAAAACACCTACACTATGTTATATAACAATAAAAGTCGTCTATTTCTTAATTTAAAATGTTTAAAGTGGAAAACAAAAATAAAATCACAAAAAGAAGAGAATGTTTTGTCAATAAACTTGCGTATCATCTAACTTGGATATTAGTTTTTGAAGAGCGAATTTTTTTTTTATCAGAATCGAATAAAGGAAAAAAACCTCAAATACATTATTGCATACATCGTTTTTCGATCTTAGCCTACCTGGAAGGGTAGAAAATCCATTAACTGTAATATAATCTAATACTTGTTACGTGACCAGCAGCGACGAAAGCAAACACGATATTTTGATAACAGACTCTTTCACCAGAGGAAGCTGTTATAATGTGAAAAGTTTGATCGTATTAAATTAACAATCTAATTAACAGTTAATGGAAAGTTAAGTTGAAATTTCAATTAAATAAGCATTTGCTTCTCGTTCTAAGCAACGAGCTGCTAGTTACAGTATATTACATATAATCGGTTTAAAAACAAAGGCATTATTTTTGCTTACGTTTGAAATATCAGACTAGAAATAAACGGAATGACATTACATATTGTTCTATATTCCTATAATAATTAACATTGAGGCGAATTTATTTGTGAATTTGTTTCCATAGATACCCATCATATCTGAGTCTTCATGGTAGAGGCTAGACTATATAGACAAGGACACACCCACACACACACACCCGGGCCACCCCAAATCGCCTGCTCAATTTAGTCCTTCTAGCTCTTAAACTATGGGAGGATTTCTAAAACCTAGAATTACAGTGTGTCGATGGACTCGTATATGGCATCTGATGTTGGGCTTCTTGTCCTCCTTGAGATCCCGGGGGCGTCATGTTGGAAACTTTGCACAAGATATCATCAGTTTTTGTTCGGGTACGCACAACAGTTGGGGTAGCTATAGAAGTAACTGTAAATAATGGAGGAGCTTGATCGATACATTGGGGCCACTGTGAATCATGAGAGGCCTATGAACTCCGCAACGAAACGTGGGTATGTTATGTTCGTAAGCTTAAGTTAAAATACCCTATAAATTTAATACTTTATTCAAGGAAGAGAAACAACATACATTAGATTATACCAACTTGGGGAAGAAATAGTATAGATAGGTTGCATAAGTTTGAACAAAGTTGGGGACGGAGCGACATACATAGGTTTTATTAAGTTGGACCCAGTTGAATAATAAACAACATTCATATATTCTATTAGGTTGAATTAAGTCGGAAAAACAAAACAGCATACATTGTGTGCCATAGATTGAGTGGAGTTGCAGAGAAAAACAACATATGTAGGCTGTATTAGATTGGGTCAAGTTGTGGAAGTAACGGCAACATAAGTTTTATTAGGGTGTGTCAATTTGGGTAAGAAACAGCATATATAGGATGTATTAAGTTGCGTCATATTGGGAGGAAAAATAGTATACATATGTTGTTTAACTCGGGTCAAGTTATGTAGAAACAACAAACATGTGTTGTACTATGTTTGGAGACCAAACTTTATGCATAGGTTGCATTAGGTTGTTCCAAGTTGGGAGAAGAAACGGCATACGTAGGTTGTATTGGGTTTGGTCATGGTGGGGGAAGAAAATTCACCCATGTGTTGTGTTCATAAAATTTCAGACAAGTTCGAATAAAACAACCAGCATTCACAGATTGTTCTCGAGTTCAGTCAACTCACAATTTCTTTATGTTTCCTGCATAACATAAAGAAATTCTAAATAATATTGATTCTCGTAAAAAAAAAAAATAAAACTTAGTTTCATAACATTGCCCGTTTTCCTTAGTTACAAAAATAATCTGTATTGTTCTTTTCATAAATGCTTAAGTAAAACTCATCTGTTAAAATCGGGGACATGATCGCGATTAGGATAAAACATGAACGATCTCGTAGAATTTTTATTGATCAATTAGAATAAATGTAGTAATGTTATCATAGAAAATTTATAAAAAATATCATAGTATTGTTATTCACGAACCAGAAGTGAGTGTGATCTTATTATTACTGAATTATTAGCAACGATGTAACGTTATAGTATTGTTATTCACGAACCAGACACGAATGTGATCCTGTTATTACTGAATGATTAGCAACGATGTAAAATTATAGTATTGTTATTCACGAACCAGAAGTGAATGTGATCCTGTTATTACTGAATGACTAGTAACGATGTAAAGTTTCTGTTTTGATGTCATACTTTAGTTGTTAATTATTAAAATCGTTGATTTATTATTAACAAGATATTAACATACAGGTACAGTCCAGTTGTTTCATAAATGATGATCGACTGATAATACGTTACTTTTTGACAAGACAGAAGTTTTATTGTTTTGATCCTCCAGTGGCACAGCGGTATGTCTACGGACTTATAACGCTAAAACCGGGTTTCGATACCCGCGGTGGGTAGAGCACAGATAGCCCATATTGTAGCTTTGTGCTTAATTTCAAACAAACTTCAAACTTACTGTTTTGAATTACAGTTTGTAAAAGAATTAGAATATGAACCTACAAGTTTTGAAGCTTTCTTTAAAAGGTTGTGTTTTGTTATTATTGTTATATAGATTTTGAAAAACCCAAATTTTATGGACTGTTTTATCTGTACTTTAAACTTTTATATCACTGGCAAAATTCCTAACATCCCATTTTTGTCCTTTTTTGCGTAAATTATTATAATCGGAAGTTTTAAAAGGAATATTTCTAACCAGCTTGTGGTTAGAAATTTGCATTAGTCATATAAAGTGTTTACCAAAATATATTCCTATCGTGTTTCAAACCAGGAAAGTTTTTTTTTCATATATAAAATGAACTATTTTATAAATAAATATTTCACTTTTTCGCTTCTTTGTGTGTATGGTAGAAGTTTCCTTATTTTTAACATGGTTAAACGCAAGGCAAATGCAAGAAATATTTACCAATATATTCAACATTGTCTATGAAATGCTTTAGTTACGCATAAAAAAAAAAGCTTTATAAGTGTAAACTTTAGTATTTTAAGTATTTCCTGGATAACTGGAGTAGTTTTCTTATAATTTTAACTGTAGATAAGAAATACATTGTTTTCATCTACCATTATGCAGGACTTACTTTGTCCCCATTTATAAAATCAAATCTTTATGCTCGTCAATTGTATCGAACGTTTGTTAAAGTTGCTGTAATAGAATAGAGATTTTACATAAACAGTTTAGAACTTATTGGATTGCTCTTAAAAAACCAGCTTATATTTTAGCCCACCATAACAAATTTTGTTAAAATCTAACGATTTTTTCGTAGTAGCTGTGGGGGCGTTATAGTGTGACGGTCAGTTCTAGGATTCGTTGGTAAAAGAGTAGCCCAAGAATTGACGGTGGGTGGTGATGACTAGCTGCCTTCCCTCTAGTCTTTCACTGCTAAATTAGGAACGACTAGTGTAGATAACCCCCTGTGTAGCTTTCGGCGAACTTCTTTAGTGTTGGATAATGCTCAATATTCACCAAGCGATCCATAATATGTGAAATATTATTTTATAAAGGAAAGTATAAAGATAATTTTGAAATAAAGTATATTCGATAGAATATTGTATACTTCAAAATTATATTTTGCTGTATAAACTGCATTACAAGTTGTTTGAAGCTCAAAGTCTGGAAATACTTGAACCTTTCCTCGAGCTCTTTTCCTTTTTTGTCGCATTCGATAAGTCGTCGAATCACTTGTGTTCCTTGGTAAAACTTCAGTGTTAATACGTAGCGTTGTTTATGGTTTTTTTTTACTACGTTGGTATAACGGTAAAATCGTTTCTGTATGTTACCTTTCTGTGCAGTCGCTTCATTTACAGTATTCGCAGTAACTGTTCCTGTCATATATATACATTATGATATTCGTGTTCTATTTTATTC